AGCTTCACTACCACCGACAACCTCCCACAAGTCTTGACCTTGAAGGTAAGACTCTATACACGTTGCCCACGTGTTATAGTTTTGGTTATTGAGCTTCTTGATTCCTCCAACAACTTGAAGATCACCCATCGTATCGGCAAGACTTTGACTACACCGAGCAAGCTTGAGTGACTACCGTGCAGAGTAATACACTACTCTCGACACAAAGAAGCTCCCTCTCAAGGTTTGTGATAACCCCAGCAATAATCTCAAGAAACCTTTTCTGATGTGGAAGATCAGTCAAAACTGCAACCACAGAGCATACTCGGAATTTCAAGAGACTTTACAACCAATGCTCTACCAAGACCGATCCCTGACCGACTTGGCTCTGATACCAATTGTTGAATAAGAAGAGTATCCAAGATAACTCTAATGATCCCAAGAAGAAGAAAATAGAACACACTCTTAAAGAAAGCTCACAAAACAAACTAGTTAGCAAAGCTTTTCTTATTTAGCTCTAGGCTTTGTTTTTCCTTGGATGATTTACAATGCTTGAGAACTTGGGTATTTATAGCAAACCAAATGAATAAACTAAGATTATTTATTACCACACAAAACACATTAATTTCACCTAATTTATTTTTATTCAACCATGCCTAACATTGCCTAATTTTCCATACCTAACTTTGACATTGATTTTCAACATCTTTGACATTGATTTTCAACAGTACTAGAGTCATTATCACCACTAGAGATAAGCTAGTACTACGTCGAGCTGATGCGATCTACAGCCCCAAGGTTCTAAGTGGTGATGGAGCTTTTGAACTCTTTAGCCAGTATGCCTTCAGAACAAGGCAACCCAAAAGACACTATGACCATCTCTCAAGCCTTGCTGTACGATATGCTCAAGGTCTCCCTTTAGCACTTAAAGTCTTGGGAGCTTTTCTTTATAACAAATCTGTACAGGAGTGGGGAGAGGTGCTAAAGAAATTAAGGAAAATCCCGCAAAGGGGAATTCATGATGTGCTAAGAACAAGCTTCGATGGACTAGATGATTCTGAGAAGGACATATTTCTGGATATTGCATGTTTCTTTAAAGGAGCCAGAAAAGACTACGCAACAAAGATTCTTGACAGTTGTGGCTTTTATCCCCATACTGGGATAAGAGTTCTAATTGATCGAGCTCTTATAACTGTCTCTTCCGAAACACTAGAGATGCATAATTTACTAGACGAAATGGGTCGCGAAATCGTTCTCCAAGAATCTATTAAAGTGCCTGAGAAACGTAGTAGGTTGTGGAATTATGAAGATGTTCATCATGTGTTAATTCAAAATACGGTGCGATATGTTCATGACCTGTCTTTTTCATATGTAAATCTTTAGAGTAAACAAATTTAACTTTGACCAAAATATAATTCTTAGAAACATGCATTAACTTTATAATGTTAAATAAGATTCATGATATCTACATTCACATAATTTTAACTATTTGTTATCCAGGCTCCGGAAGTTGTTGAAAGCATAATCCTTGACCTTTCATTCTCAAAGCTAAAAGCGGTATACTTAAGGTCCGAAGATTTTTTTAAAATGACGAAACTAAGATTGCTCAAAATCCATGGTGACGGTGTAAATTCATGTGAGAATTTAAAGTTTCTTTCGCATGAGTTACCACATGACTTGTTTTCCTGGATGTGTTATAACAGCCTCTGGAAAATTTGAAAATTATCAACTTAACAAGATCTCCTCACCTGAAGAAAACTCTTGACTTACGGAGGCAAAAAATCTTGAGAAAGTAGTTTTTCGAAGATGTACAAGTTTACTTGAGGTTCACCCATCCATTTCGTCTCTCAACAACCTGGTTCTTTTGGATTTCGAAAATTGCGGAAATCTTAAGATTTTTCCAAGTAGGATTGGTATGAAATCTCTTAGAACCCTTAAACTTTCATGGTGCGGCAGCCTCAATAAGTTTCCCGAAATTTCAAATGTTCTGCAGTATCTATCAGAGATTTATTTAAATAATACTGGAATTAAAGAACTTCCCTCGTCAATTAGTAATCTTACTGGGCTTGTTGTCTTGAATATAAAAGGTTGCAGAAAACTTGAGAATCTTCCAAGCAGCATCTCTCACAAGAAATCTCTTCAATGCCTTGATGTTTTTGGATGCTCAAAGCGTGTGAAGTTTCCAAAAATTCCAAAGGTTAAAAAATAAGCTATCTGAGCTCTATTTGGGTCACACCGCAATTAAGGAACTGCTTGCATCAGTTTTAAATCTCACCAATCTTGTTACCCTAAGGCTGAATGATTGCAAAGAACTTGAGAGTCTTCCAAGCAGCATCTGTCAAATGAAATCTCTTCAATACCTTGATGTTTCTAGATGCTTAAATCTTGAGAAGTTTCCAGAAATTTCAAAGGTTATGAATAAGCTATCTAAGCTTTATTTAGGTGGCATTGCAATTAAGGAACTGCCTCCGTCAGTTTTAAATCTCATCAATCTTGTTACTTTGAAGTTGAATGATTGTAGAGAACTTGAGAGTCTTCCAAGCAGCATTTGTCACATGAAATCTCTTCAATACCTTGATGTTTCTGGATGCTCAAACCTTGAGAAGTTTCTAGAAAATTCGGAGGTTATGAATAAGCTATCTGAGCTTTATTTGGGTGGCATTGCAATTAAGGAACTGCCTGCGTCAGTTTTAAATCTCACCAATCTTGTTAGTCTGAGGCTGAATGATTGCAGAAAACTTGAGAGTCTTCCAAGTAGTATTTGTCAAATGAAATCTCTTCAATACCTTGATATTTCTGGATGCTCAAATCTTGAGAAGTTTCCAGAAATTTCACAGGTTATGAATATGCTATCTGAGCTTTATTTGGGTGGCACTGCAATTAAGGAACTGCCTGCGTTAGTTTTAAATCTCCGGAGTCTTGTTACTTTGATGCTGAATGATTGCAGAGAACTTGAGAGTCTTCCAAGCAGAATTTGTCACATGAAATCTCTTAGATACCTTGATGTTTCTGGATGCTCAAATCTTGAGACGTTTCCGGAAAATTCAGAGGTCTTGAATAAACTATCTGCATAGAACTTGAGAGTTTTCCAAGCATCATTTCTCACATGAAATCACTTGAAAATCTTGATGATTATGGATGCTCAAATGTTGAGAAATTTCATTCACATTTTCTAGCCGTTGCCACAACTATTGCATTAGTAATTGCTGGCACCAACCTGTTTTTCCAATTTGCAATAATTATGTCAATTTGCAAAATTAGCTGGCCACAATAATTATATCAATTTCTACCATCTTTTGTTTTTGTTTTACTAAAATAAGGTGCTAATCGTGTAGCATGGATATGTTATACTAAGAAATTAAATTGATTTATTTTAAATTAAATCGAAACAATTGGAAGACTCATGGCATTATGTGTATAGCTTAGAAGGCTAATGATGCACAATTGCTCTCGTGAAGAAGAAATTGCAAGATGGAAAGCTACAGCTGAGTAAGAAGTTGTTGTGGGCACCGGTGTAGAACAAGAATTTGTGGCGCAGGTAATTTTGCAAGCTTGGCATGAATCTACTGATTAAAACAAAAACAAAATTTGTGTTTCTTAGAAAACTCATATGCATTCAATTTTCAAAATGAAGAATTGGGCTTGAAGTCAGATTTCGTTGTATGAACTTTTGATTTGGTAAATTTTCTTAACGGATTTGATCAGAGTTGTGAACTTGGTAAATTTATGTTTGATAGAATGCCTATGACTTTTCATGGTTATCATTCCTTTAATAACTCTTTTGGTGATGATGTGAAGATATATGGTTATTTGATCTAAATTAATAGGTGAATATCTTTGTCTGGCAACTTTTCCTTTCAGCTGGATTGAACAATTCGTTCGCAGCATGCTATTGTGCTTTGTCTATCCTTTGGTATGAAGCTAAAAATTACAGTGTCTTTATCCTTTTGATTCACCCACTGTAAGCCTACTTAGCTTCAGCTGAAGCTCTTCAAGTCAAACTGTCTGCAACTTGAAGTTTACTTTAATTTTTAGAAATGTTTATTCATTTTTATTATTTTCAGCTGAAATCAATAGAATTGAACTTCAATTTGGTAATGGAGATGGAATGCAAGGAAAATGCGGGGGAGAGCCTTCTCTTGCTCTCAAATCCAGTGAATCACGTCCCACCACCTGCGTTCCCCTGCTTTTCTGAAGGTAAGCGATTCATCCTACCCGAAATTTCAAAAATTTGGGGGGTTTTGGTTCCTTTTCAATACCAATCAGATAATCAATCTGTACGAATGGATTTGATGGATTGAAGCATCGTGGACCTGATTGGAGTGTCTTTACCCTACTCTAATTGTTAAATGTTATTAAGCAAATGTATGTGCTCATTACCAAGAATCAAGTTACCTTTTTTTTTTTTTTTTTTTCCCCTATTGATAGAGAAATAGAATCAACAAGGAAAACTTAGGAAATTCAAGAAATTAAGAAACAACTGGATGAGTATCTTTTTGTATTATATTATTGTTTTCATAACGATTTTGGGTTCAACCACATGGTGCCCAGAAGTTGGTCTTGGTGATTAGAAATGCTATTGGCGGCCTACTTGCTTTCCTTTCTGCTTAATTTATCTTAAGAACGTTTGCATCCTAATACATACTTTAAATATGTTAATTTGTCCTATTTTCTATAAAATTTTGAGCAATGTGAATGTGGGTTATTCTCAATCTTCAGATGTGATCATTTCACAACTTTTGCATACATGGCTACTCAGCCTTTGACATACATAGTTGAGGATGGGAGGAGCCAGGCGAGCCAGGATCGGGGTTTGTGTCATTATAAATTATTCGTTTAGTTACGGAAAAAAGATATGGTTGCGTAGTCCAGTTTTGTATATTCAACATCTTAAACATTTTCCTTTGATATTGCTTCGTTTTGATTTGTAAACAAACTATATCTTTATATTGGGTCACAGTGTAATGTTTAACGATTTAATTTCTCGGTCTAGCAATTTTTTCAAAAACTTACTATTCCTGTTACATGCTCAAATATTATGTCTTCTACTTTTCTATTTTCCTTTTTTTTTGTTTTTACCCATGCATAATTTGAACTATTTGTTATCCAGGCTACGGAAGCTGTTGAAAGCATAATCCTTGACCTGTCATTCTCAAAACCAAAAGTGGTATACTTCAGTTCCGAAGCTTTTGTTAAAATGACGAAATTAAGATTGCTCAAAATCCACGGCCACAATGGATATTCATGTGAGAATTTAAAGTTTGTTCTGCATGAGTTAAGAAGTCTCGTATGGAAGCATTTCCCCCTATAGTCTTTACCGTCCAATTTTATTGCAAAGAATCTTGTTGAGCTTGACATGCAAAATAGTCTCATTGAACATCTTTGGGAAGGAGCCAAGGTAAAAACTTCACTTGCATATGTTTCTTTTAAATGGTTTAATTCTTAGATGCCTTACCATATAACTTGCTTTCCTCAATGTGTTATACCAGCCTTTGGAAAATTTGAAAATTATCAACTTAACAAGTTCTCTTCACCTGAAGAAAACTCCTGACTTCACGGAGGCAAAAAATCTTGAGAAAGTAGTTTTTCGAAGTTGTACAAGTTTATTTGAGGTTCACCCATCCATTTCATCTCTCAAAAACCTGGTTCTTTTGGATTTGGAAAATTGCAGAAATCTTAAGATTTTTCCTAGCAAGATTGGTATGAAATCTCTTAGAACCCTTAAACTTTCATGGTGCAAAAACCTCGATAAGTTTCCCAAAGTTTCAGATGTTATGCAGGATCTATCAGAGCTTTATTTAGATTATACTGAAATTAAAGAACTGCCCTCGTCAATAAGTAATCTTACGAGGCTTGTTACCTTGAATCTAAAAGGTTGCAAACAATTTAAGAGTCTTCTGAGGCGTATTTCTCACATGAAATCTCTTAAAAGCCTTGATGTTTCTGAATGCTCAAAGCTTGAAAAGTTTCCAGAAATTTCAGAGGTTATGAAGAAGCTGTCTGAGCTTTGTTTGGATGACACTGCAATTAAGGAGCTGCCTGCTTCTATTTTAAATCTCACCAGTCTTGTTACTTTGAGTCTGAATGATTGCAGAGAACTTGAGAGTCTTCCAAGCAGCATTTCTCACATGAAATCTCTATCTGAGCTTTATTTGGATGGCACTGCAATTAAGGAGCTGCCTGCTTCTATTTTAAATCTCTCCAGTCTTGTTACTTTGAGTCTGAATGATTGCAGAGAACTTGAGAGTCTTCCAAGCAGCATTTCTCACATGAAATCTCTTAAATACCTTTATGTTTCTGGATGCTCAAAGCTTGAGAAGTTTCCAGAAATTTCAGAGGTTATGAAGAAGTTATTTAGGCTTTATTTGGATGGCACTGCAATTAAGGAGTTGCCTGCCTCTATTATTAATCTCACCAGTCTTGTTACTTTGAAGCTGAATGATTGCAGAGAACTTGAGAGTCTTCCAAGCAGCATTTCTCACATGAAATCTCTTAAATACCTTGATGTTTCTGGATGCTCAAAGCTTGAGAATAATCTATCTGAGCTTTATTTGGATGGCACTGCAATTAAGGAGCTGCCTGCTTGTATTTTAAATCTCACCAGGTAGGGCTGATTTCTGTATTTTTAATTAATGCGTTTTTGTTGGCACAATTGCTAATTATGTACTGATATACTGCGTCATTAATTGCTTTTGTGATGTATATTAGAGCAGGAATCTGGGGTTTTCTTCAATATGAAATATTTTGAGGATGAGGTGCATAATGGCAATTGGGATGAAGTTGAGAAGTACCTCTCCGGGTTCACTAAAATGGAAGATAACAGCTATTCCATGAAAATCTTTTTCGAGATAAGGAAGCAGAAGTATCTCGAGGCATTGGACAAGTAAGCTTACAGTGGTTCAATTTCAATTCATTGTTAACTTTTGTGGGTTGGATTGCATGGCCGATCTTGAGGAATTATATGGTTGAATTACGTGTAATGTGACTGAACTTTATAGGCCTGATCGGTCCCAAGCCGTGGATATTCTAGTAAAGGATTTAAATTTTTTTGCCGCATTCGATGAACTTTTGGAGGAAATCGCTCAGCTCTCAACATTGGAGAACTTTAGGTATGAGAATTCCATTATATGAATAGTCTCTGTAGAAAACAGTTGTAGCAAATGTACTAAAAAATGGTCTCTTGCATTATAGGGGGAGAATGAACAACTATCCAAGTGTGGAGATTCAAAGTCTGCCAGGGCAATCATGTCGGTTGAACTTAAGAAACTGATTGACCCAAATCCCTTATTCAGTGATAAATTGCAGTTCCCAAACCTAAAGCGTTCGAGGCTATGGACTCTCATTAACCAAGGGTAATTACTCTGAAACCACGACTTCAGTTATATAAGATTAGATGTGCACTTCATCGTAACTTATGGATGTTGCAAATACTGGTCTTGCTTTAATTTTTCCACATATGGAATGAGTGCTTTTGTCTTCCGTTGCACTCAAATGACAATTTCATCAAGTTGATAGCACTAGCTAATGAGTTCATCGTTTACGTACATTGTCTATGTTGCTATAAAAAGGTGGTTATGGCTTGAATTCTGTGGAAACAAAAAGAAGTCATTAATATTGTTGCAATGCCTAAATCATGTGCCTGAATCTTAATTTGGTACATGGTTCATTGCTACATAGCACAGGGGCCTGGTGACAGTTGTACATCACTGCTTGATTCCAGCATCTGGTGTCAGGATTTTTTTTTTTTGGTTCGTGACCAGTGTCAGAAGTTTCCACACACCAGGAACTATTATTTGTGCAAATTATGGCCTTTCTGGTTCTGCTGAGAAAGAACTAATTCTCCTCCTGTAAATCGAAGCTTAAATTGGCAGCACGGGCTTTGTAAAAGCCCAAGTCCAAATCCATTAATAAAAACGCTTTATGTGGATCACCCATGTGGACAACCGAACTGTGAGCGGGCACCATCACCTGCAAACAACCTGCTTCTTGGAATCAAACAGGGGGCGGTCAAGATGTTGTCTCTGATTATGGAGCTTGTGTTCCTGATCTTGCAGTTTCTCGATGAGGGAAACTGCAAAGAGACTATTCATAATTGACTGTTGATTGTTCTCTATGTGATGCTTCATTTGGTACCAATGTGGGGGACGTAGGCCTGCGGGAAGTTGGATCCAGGGAGCAACTAGTTGTAAGGAACTTCAAAGTATGGGATCTTAGTTCATGCTCAATGCTCCTGCAGGTCTTTCCCTTTCTATGCTTGTTCATGTGACATAAAAATTGTGTGCACTGTATTCTTTGTGGATGTATGAGTTGGTTGACTGAAACGTAAATTTTTCTTTGTGAAACTGGCTGCTGTAGTTAAGGATCCTGGTGTGTCTGTTAACCATGTGATTCGGAGCCCTGATGGTGCTTTATTTGGTAAGCTTGAGCATGCTTAGGTAACTCTGACAAATGTGATATGGCTTTATAAATTTTTAAGGATTGAATTAGATCCTAATTATTGTATCATTTACAATACAATTATAGGTATTGCTTACTCGAGGCACATTGTTCAAATATATTCTTATCATGGGGGTGATGACGTACGAGAGCTGTTTCAATTTTTTACACCTTTTTCTTGTTGTCTCTTAGTTTTCTGTATTAATGGTGACTCTGAAATTACTGTCGTAGATTGATGCACATGTTGGTGGAGTAAATGATCTGGCATTCTCCCATCCCAATGAGCAGCTTTGTGTGATTACCTGTGGGGATGACAAGACCATCAAGGTTCGTTAGTTGCCTAACATGTTTGCTTGTCTCATTGCCATTGGAAGAGCATTTTCTGTTCCTTGCTGATTTCCTTCTTAAATTTAGGTGTGGGATGCTACAACCGGTGCAAAACAATATACTTTTGAAGGTCAAGAGGCTCCAGTTTATTCTGTCTGCCCACATTATAAGGAAAACATTCAGGTGTTGTGGCATTTTATTTTTATTTTTTCATTCTTACTAATTACACCTTGTGTTTCTGTCTCTGGTGCCCGTCTGTCCTTGTCTTTTCGTGCTCATTGTTTGCTGCTATGCTTCAGTTTATTTTTTCAATAGCACTGGATGGAAAGATAAAGGCTTGGGAGTATGACAATTTGGGATCTCGAGTTGATTATGATGCGCCTGGTCGCTGCTGCACAACCATGGCTTACAGTGCTGATGGTACAAGGTTAGTATACTGAGCTCAGAGTTTCCTTTTTCCTTTTGCTGGATGGGCAAACTATATAGTTATTTATTTCTTTTCGTCGTTTTTCTTTGGTGGTGGGTTGCAGGCTATTTTCATGTGGGACAAGTAAAGACGGTGAGTCATATATTGTTGAATGGAATGAAAGTGAAGGAGCTGTGAAGAGGACCTATAAAGGCCTTCGCAAGCGTTCTTTTGGTGTTGTGCAATTCAATACTACTAAAAAACCGGTTTTTGGCTGTTGGTGATGATTTTTCTATTAAATTTTGGGACATGGACAATATTCAACTTCTGACAACTGCTGATGCTGATGGAGGCCTCCCAGTAGGTTCGTTTCCTTTAAGTAAATTGAAATAATAGAATCTTAAATACCAGCTGCTTATCTTCTTTACCCCTCCTAATTCCTAGGCAAGCCCTCGTATCCCCCTCAACAAGGATGGCACTCTCTTGGCTGCTTCTGCCAATGAGAATGGGATTAAAGTTTTGGCAAATGCAGATGGAATGCGGTGGTTGTGAACAATTGAGAATCATCTTTCTTACGATGGGTCTGATAGACGATAATTACTCTGATCGATTGCTTCCTGATTGTCTGTGATCACTGCCTGCTGTAATCCCTGATTGTTTGTAACCCTTTGACTGATATCCTGCACAAATCATCTGTTAAAATGCCTTCCGTATATGTATATTCTGTATACAAAGTCAACTTGTACATTGAGGCTTTATTAGCCTATAAACTCCATGATGTATATGCTATAAACTCCATGAAGTAAAATCAATTTTCAGAGGCACAAGTGCTGCTGAACAAGGATTTACTGTTTTCTGGTTTTCTACAATTCAAAGGCTGATGAGAATGAATTTGAAGTCCCGTCGGCATCTGGAGAAGAATCAATTTTCAATGATCCAACTGCGCCTAATAGCGAATAAGAGTCGCTTAAAAGTCTGTCATCAGACGAAGTTGGCCAAAAGCACACGCATGGATCACAATGAGGTCCTTCAAATCAATGTAGAAATAAAGTTAAGAGAACAGAAAATTTTAGAGAAAGTGGGAATGAGTGATGAACAAGGAAATGGAGTCTTGAGTATTGAAAACCAAGAAATGACTGGACTTAGTGACCACAAGGAATTCGCCATTGACCTTTACTTACAAGTGAGAGGATTTAGGTTCGAATTTCATGGATGACGAATTTGATACCACATTAGTTTGCCCTTTGTGTGGCTTAGCCGATTTTCCCCTCCTCTTAATGTAAAATATACCGCTGTACTAAAAAAAAAATGTATGAAAAATCAAATCTATGATAGGGGTTTTGTGGTTGTGGCTGTGGGTTTTCTCTGGGGTTTTTCTTCGCAGACCCTACCAGAGAAAAAAAATCATGTTGAAAGAAAATTTTCCATTCAGATTTTCCTTTTTTTCTAAAGATAATTAAAATAATTTTACTATATATTCTTTCTTTGTCCAAATATAATTAGTTTTTCTAAATTAAACAGTTGTACAAACTTTTTGTGACTATAATTATAATATTTAAATATGGGTTATTGGCCCAAAAAAATAATTCGGTTGACCAAAAGTTTTTTATTTTTTTATTATTGGCGGGTCGTCTATTGCTGTTTTAAGAATAGCATTAAAATAATAAAATCAAACATGTTTATGTGACTAAATGAAATGCAAATTACTCCATAGTAAAACTGAAGTGAAAACACTGTTCATTAACAGTGTTTTCAAGAAAATGCCCTTCGCTTTTTCTGTTATTCCCTGCTTTTTCTAATGTTGAACAGTATGTACACGAAATTAACCTTATTTACCTCTTGGATGAGTACTCACACGTGTTACGAGGGACAGGTGGAATCTTTATCATCGTAAAAATCGCAAATCTATTCCCTTTTTTTTATTTACTTGTGAACTACGTTGACTGACAAATGTGCTTTCGTTTCATTTTTAGAATGAAAAATTGAATTTTGTGTATGCGTGCAGTGAAAGTGATCAACGCCTTGCGTTTTTTAGAATCTTGCTAAAATTAAAAAGAATTAGTATAATTAAGTTTATACAATGAAAGGAACAGAACAAAAATGAAAGTAAAGAAAAATTAGGATGTAATAAATAATATCTTTGTGTGTGTGTGTGTGTGTGTGTGTGTGTAATGTATATATTATAAGTATGTATGTATGTATAACAATTATGCGGTGAATGAGAATACGAACATGGACAATGGCAAAGTTTTAAAAGGCTGCGCGATATAATGGAATGACATTGACTGGGTGTGGTTTTATGAAGTCCTAAACGGATGCTCTGTAGCTTTGGTTGTAGAATCATAATAGCTTTGGTTGCAAAACCTTAGGCATTGTCCCTTCAGCTTGTTGGTCCCCTCCTGGCCCCTCTTTCATGAAATTGAATGTCGATGCGAGTTGGGTTGCGGGTTCTAAATGTGGCTATGCTGGAGTTGTGGTTAGGAATCATGAGGGAAGTTTTGTGGCTGCTAAAAGATTGCAGATTAATGCGTCAAATGTTGCGGCAGCGGAAGCTACTGCGATTTTGCTTGGTTGTGATCTGGCTATTTCGTTGGGGTTGGACAAGATAATTGTTGAGTCCGACTCGAAGGAGAATATCTATAACTTACTAAATGTTTCTTCTTCGGGCAGCTGGGAGGCTTTCCCCATCCTTACAAAAGCTTGGCGGCTGAGGGATTCCTTTCAGGACTGTCGCTGGTCTTGGGTTCCAAGATCGGCCGATATGGCGGCGCATCGGTTGGTGTTGAGTAGTCCGGAGATGTGCGGTATAACTTGGGTTAATCACCCTCCATCTTCGCTGGTCCATATTCTGAACAAAGATGGGTTACCCTGTCCCCCTTAATTTTTGTTTTGGCAATGGAGGGGCGACACCTTTGCACTAGGTGCAGCGTCGTATGCTTTTGTACCCTCCTCTTCGGCTTGTTGTTTGATGCGTTCTTTGTAGCTTGCTTTCTGTGGGCTTCTTTGTTCGTTTGGCTTTGGCCCTTGTTCTATGATATTTCCAGTTCTTCAAAAAAAAAAAAAAAAAACCTTAGGCATTGATGTGATTGTAGAAAGATCTAATTTGTATAAGGTTTTGCAATCATTTCATGTTTTTTTTTTTTCAAAAAAAAAAAATGGTAAAAGACAGTTTACTACCCTCATGTTTTATGGTTTTCAACATTTAGTACATCAAGTTTTTTTCATCCCAGAATCATACCTAAAGTGTAAATTTTGGGACAATCTCATACATCCGTTAGTCAAACTGTTAAGTCTCCCGTTAACTGTGATGTGGCACCCATGTGGACAATGACTGGGCGCCATGTGTCATTGTCGTGGAAATTAAAAATAAATTATTTATAAAATAAATAAAAAAATATAATAATAAAAAATATATATATAAATAAAATAAAATAAAATAAAAAACCTTCATCTTCCCCAATTCCCACCCGTGCCCACCCTCCCA